TGCTCTAACTCAATAGCGACCTCCGAGAATTGAGGAACGAAAATGGTCCCAAGTCGTTTCGTGGTCTACTTCTGGTAATCCTTCACTTCAGTGGGGCCACTTGTTGGACGGTGCGCTGTCCCAACGTCCCACAATATATTTATATACATATATATGTATATAGGTTTAAGATATAATTCACATAAAATTCTTGAAAACAAAATAAGTTAGTTATCCTGATATATTAAAATATAGAACATTCAAACTTTAAAATAACTTTAAAATAATGGCTATTCTTTGTCACTTTATAAAAATATTTTTCACATCTTTTATAAAAGTTTTGTATGTTATATATATTACATATTATATTTATATATATATTATATATACAAAATCGTATATTTGTAATCACTTCATGGATTTTATTGAAAATTCCTGCTAAAGGTTTGCTGTAATTTCTTTTTTTTTGTAATTTCAAACCGAGTATTCAGTTGAAATTCATTTGGTAAGTGAAAGTAAAATATATTTTAGAGCTGCAACAGAATTTATTGACACTGAAAAAAATTGGTTTTATTTACATTTCCACTACATAAAAGAAAAAAACTCAACTAAGTTGCTTGTGTATATGCAGAATTTGGTTGTGTGTCCTTTGGTGGCTTTTACATGATTGAATGAATCTGTAAGCACTCTTTTCCATTGACAACTTACTTCAGCGTCATAACGCGAGTTAAAAGCAAATATTGCCATTTAAAGTAATTTTTTAAATTGAAGTGCAGCAAAATTTCTTCATAAATTCAATTTTATTTAAAATATTTTTCAATTTTACTTTGAATAGAACCCTCAACGTAAAAGATTTATATTTTCATAATAAAAGATTTGACACTCTTGAGTGCGTATAAAAATAAAATTTTATCAACGAAATTTACAATTTTAATTTGATTTATTGAAATATTTTAATATGTTTTTAAATAGATAAAATTATTGAAATCAGGTGAAGAAAAACTTCTTAATATAACTTTGTAACATAATTTTTAAGCAAATATGATTATATATTCTTACTCATATAAAAATATATGATTTGTACAAATGCTTACCAACACCACGTTATCGAATATCAGAATGGTTACAGGCTTTAAGGGGAGGTATGCAGATCTGAGGTCAGTTGCTTAGTCTGATGAAATGATAAATAATAATCTAGACAAGGCGTAGAGAGGGGTTATGAAAAAACCTCACAGTTAATAGAGAGTAAAAGTGCTCAAGTGCAGTGATTCAACAAGCCTCAACATATATATATAAATAATAAGTATAAGTAAAAGCTATAAGTGCTATATAAGTCAGATGCATTATTATGAAAATAAGCAATGTAGCACAATATTTATAAATATTCACGTGACAAGCATATGGTAAATATAAGTATTTAAAAACGCAGAAATCAGAGTTTTAAATATATGCACTTCACATTTTCGTTTCATTTGAATGCTGCCAAAAACTTATTTTTTTATTAACAAAAAATCCCAATCAAACTCATCTTTGTACTAGCGAACAGACCAATAAGCTGAGTTGCATTTTGCTTATTATTACAGTGAAATGGCGAACAGACATAAGCCTCTTATTGAGAACTACAAACGCGTTGAACTGTAAGTCAGTAGTAAATTCTGAAAGAACCAATTCTTTGATGAACATCTACTAATAGCACTATTAGCAACAACAAACTTCGAAATGGAAAATATTGATTTTTCACTTGCAGGATACAGTATCATGCATCGGAACTGCTTGTACGTATTTATGCAATTTAAATCAATGATTCTTTGCTGAGAGCTTTGCAGTTAAGCTCTACGGTATATAAGCATTTTGTGATGGTCCACAATTTAATTATCATCAACTTAAAAGGAATGTTACAAAAATAAAATAATTCGATTCGGTTTTGTTGAACTGCATGTGGGTAAGTTTTTTTTGACGAGCATCTTTTTTTCACTTTAGTTTTGTGATAACGCATTCAATTACAGATTTAAATTCTATGAAGACTTAAATATGAAGTTGTTCTTACTTAGCATTACAAATACAAATATGCAGTTAGAGAATCTCAGTAAATTTTAATTATGAGCCTAACAAATCTGCATGATATCACCCATTTACTCAGACTAAACATAATTATAATTTTAACATTTTTAATTTTTTAATATAAGTATTTGACAGAAGCATAAAAGACATCGTAATAAAATAGCATTTACCAACAAAACCATTGCAAAGTGGTATGGCTCCAAATTTAACATAGTTGATGCCAGGTAACTTTAATTTGTGAATAGATTATTAATTATAAGTAGCTTACACGTAAGACCACGTCAGCGACAGTCCACTACAAGTCCAGCCAAAGTGTTTTCAAGTACAACAAACTGTGATAAAAAAATTGTAATGAATTTACTGACAAGTTAATAGTCTAATTGAATCGTTTTGTAATTACCTAAGCTTTAATAACATATTTTTTTTAATATATATCTTTCACAATGCTCATGCCTGTATTCACACTACAATTATCAATTTATTTTATAAATACAATTAAAATTTGTTAAGAACTCTAATCCAAAGCAGCTAGAACCAAATCCAAATTTATGCAAAACATTTCATTTCAAATTGGGCATTTAACATTATAAAACAAATATTGTTGTCCTTTATACCTTCAACTGCATAGAATCGAATTAATTAAATGGCAGACACTGACATCATTATGGCAAACTTTGCAGTTGATAAAGCAAAAATGTTAATGACATCTGCAAATGAGACTACGCAGAAGCTAAATATAAATCAGAAGTGAAATACTGCGTAATGAAACTACTATTATGACCTTTTGTATGGCTAACAAAGGCTAGAGAAATCTAATTACCGCTAACATGCAAAGAATAGGAACATAAATTTTTCTACTTCATGAAAATTATGATTAATATATATTTAGAAGAGATTTATACACGATTTAAAAATTAATTAAAGAGTAGTAAAATTAAATAAAAGAGCTGTTCTTTTAAAATAAAAATCAATATAGTACTTATTATTAGTTTTATTAGTTTAAAAAAAAATTGTTTGAATATTGTTAAAAAAATACTCCTAAGAAAATTGAAATAGTAAACACAAATTACTCTTATACGGCGTTTACATTGGCCGAAAATGGCTCATTTTGGATGAGTCATTTGAAAGTGTTTACATTCGTTGTATTTCATTTTTTCTCATTTCATTTCATTTCTGTGCCAAAAAAATGTTACAGGAAGGTTAAATATACCTTCAAACCTTACAATATAAACTAAAAACTTGTTTCTAGATTCGATTTATTTATTTTTGGGAAGTAGAAGTTCCAAAAATTGGTGCATCGTTTTCAAGAAAATACAACCACCAAACATTTGTTTACCTTTTTTTGTAAATATGTTAAAAACAGCTTTTTCAAACTGTCAAAATGCCATGAAGAGCTTTCATTTAGGGTATGTTCAATGGATTCCTTTGCATTTGGAACGTATGTGGAATGCATTCGAACGTCATACAGAATGTGAGAAAATTGCTCATTTTTGTGCTTGAAATTTTATATGCAAGAATGAGCCATTCGATACTCATTTTCGATTTTTGACCAAAATGAGCCATTTTCGGCCAATGTAAACGCCGTATTACTCATTCGTAGAAGTTTATAATAAAAAGAAATTTCGATTCAAATTTGGTCACAATACCTAGTCAAGTTGGTCAAACCAGTGTTACTCAGTCATAAATGTTAACTTGAATATCGTGAACTTTGATCACAGTGATGAATCTAATATGTCTGTTAATATTCTTATAATTAAATACAATTTCTTATTTATGTTTTTTAAAGAGCCTTTTAATTATTTTTATTTAATTTATTTATAGACTTTAAGACTATAAACGTATTAGTTGAACACTCAACATTTACATACATAAGCTATTTAGATACGTCAGATATGGAAATATCCCTTTTTTTGCTTTGCTTTTTATGAATAGATGTTTTGCATATCGGTACAAATTAACAAAATACAAAATAGTGCACAGTGACATTTATAAATAAATTTAAATTAAAATATGTACAAAAAATTTGGCGCTTCAAGAAAGTACCATTTTCTAAAAACGAGTACCAGAGTACCACACGGAAGAAAGTAATAATTTTGGTATCAAAATAAATATTTATATATTCCTAATTATAAATGTACATAATTTTAAAATTCATTTTTAAAGTGTTTACGATCAAAAAGTAAGACTGATTTTAAAGTTGCTGTTAGTAGACAGATATCATCCAAAATATAAAATGCATTTTAAGGTGATTTTAAGGTGCATTATCTAATGCTTAAAAGCGACTTTTAATGCTTAAAAACAAATTTTAAGACTACACGAATCTGGATCAATTATTTGGCAAAGACGATTTTATAATGATACATTTAATGGCTTCAGGGGTAGTTTGATTATTAGAAAAATCAAATTTTTTCCATATAAACAAAACTCCAATCAGATTTCTCGAATTTAATATCTCATTAAGAATTTTCTCACAGCTTGTAATTATTTACTGAAATACAAAAAATACATTATAATATATGTGAATTTTCCATATCATCGACATATTTTAATATTAAATAAAGTGAATCAAATCAAAGTTCAATTATAAAAATTCATGTATCCCACAATTTAATTCAGAAATATTTACATTTTATAAAATATATATATGTATTTGAAGTATGTATAATATTTCACTGATATATTTATATTATACAAATATAAACAAGGTTCAAGTATGCACGGTGTATTCACGACCATTTTAATTAGTTCTGAATAATATAGGAATTTTACTAATAATAGCAACCCTGTCAGTGCAGTTTTAGCAACTCTGTGTAATTCTGCCCGAAGGTAGCGCAATAAAAATAGTTTGAAGTTTTACTTCTTCGGTTGAGTTTTGCATAAAATTTAACAAAGCAACTTAAGAATAATTAAAAAATTTATCAGGTAATATAAAAATATATATAAAAGTGAAATAAAATTTTTATTAGTTGTGTAAGTTTCAAAAATTATGTCAGTAAAGCGATAACATAGAATATATTGATATTTGGCAGGCAATAGCAATTTTGAGCCGAATATCTAAATAGTGTAATTTACAATTAAATTTCCTGCGTCAAAGGTAATTTTACAGAAATAATTTCACTTTTTACATTTCTCCAATAAATTTGACAGGTAACTGAACAATATATTTATTTCACTTTTGCAAACTTTGCAAATTCTTCAAACCTTTTTTAAAATTACAAGTTTTTGTAATGTTCGGAATTGTTAATATTGTTTTAAATATTAGACATCATGAACATTTTTTATGGAAAACATGTAACATATAAGGTTAGGTTTCGTAAAACGAGAAACAGTTGTCAGGCGTATTCGGCAACTCACGTAATCCTAATCGGATACACAATCTAAACATTTATCAAACAAAATTAGAAACATTTTTAACAACATTTAATCATACTTTATAATATGTGAAACATTTTTGTAAAACGGTGTAAGATTTAAAAAATTACTTATAATTATAATATATTTTCATTTAATTTAGCACTTGATCTCTAACTAAAAATTTAACTATGGGAGATGCCGAGAAAGGTAAGAAAATCTTTGTTCAAAAGTGTGCTCAGTGTCATTCAATAGAGAGTGGAGCCAAGCATAAGGTTGGGCCCAACTTATATGGTGTTATGGGACGCAGGAGTGGTACAGCTTCTGGTTATAAATATACTGAAGCCAACCAGAAAAAAGGCGTCACTTGGAATGATTCAACTTTGTTTGATTACTTAGCAGATCCTAAGAAATATATTCCGGGAACAAAGATGGTATTTGCTGGCTTGAAAAAACCTGAAGACCGTAAGGACTTAATTGCCTATCTCAAAACTCGCAAATAAGTTTCGTTTAGTTCTAATAAGAAACAACAACAACATAGTATTGAAATTTATTTAAATTTCAATAAACAAACTTTCATGTAAGTAAACTATTTATGGTAGTTGTTTTTTTTTTCTTTAAATCCCAATAATTGTTTTGTAGATAGTAATCTAATCATCAGTGAAATTTCAAAAACAAAATCTTTTAATTATTTTTCAAACAACTGGTAACATTTCATACACATATGTTATTATATGATTAAAGCATCAACTTTTTTCTCAACAGATTTCAGTTGATTAAAAAATATGTATTTACTAAATTGGACAACTGATTTCCATGGACAGTCGAGCAACAAACAACTTCAGAAATGCTAGTCTACATTTAAAACAATTTTTTTTAACATTACAAAAAAGCCAATAAAAAGCAAATCCCAATAAATTATGTTTTTCTTATAAAAATATTTTTGAAGTTAAAAAATATGTTATTTATAATTTATGATAAATAGATTTTTTATTAATATTAACTGATTGTTAGGGGAAAAAATTTTTAACATATTTCAGACGTTAAAAATTTTTGTACAGACCTAAATATGTTTTGCCATTCCATAAAAAAATTTCGAATACGTTTATAGAAAACAATATTCTTTTCTAAATATTTGCAATTTTTAGAAATTTCTTAAACGAAAAATTTCCTTTATTAATAAAGTATGAGTTAAAGGATAAAAAGTTTTAGCAAGATGAATGAAACTATGTGTGCTATAAATTTAAAAATTCTTAGAAGACTCATATTTTATTGTTTGAAAGTTTTAGAATTATGCGACCCAAAATATATCTATTAGCTATACAAACAGGGCCAATCTTTCTAATGTAAATAGCTTCGAGGTATTTTTCAATAAAACCTCAATCAAAGTTTTCCGTTTTAACAGTAAGCAAAAGGTTGCATTCAATCAGAAAATTGCTGATGGCAAGATAAATACGAAGAAATAGAAATAAAGATTGCGAGTACAAAATTATTTGAATATTGCAACAAGTTAGAAAAATTCATGATGTTCTGATATTTAATAAAAATATTTTTATCGACAGTGAGTGACAGACATAAAAACAATTTTCATCAATCAAAAACCGTTTTGCCTATGATTTCAGAAGCGTAAGAATCAAGGATATAAATATAGAATTGAAAGGGTTATGTCTGTAATAAAATTTATCTACTGTGATATTTAATATGAAAATATAATTATCTGTTTTAAGAATAAATAAATATTGAAGAAGACGGACATTAAATCAATATTTTATTTTAAGAAAATATGACACCTAGAGTGTCATTTCACTGGAAGCTTTTAAACTGTGATTATAAGACAATTATATTAAATTTTACTATTATAAATACGTAAAAATATATTTATTATTATAAATAATAATTGTCAGAATGTGTACAATTTACTATTAATTATTGAAATTTATATGATTAAAATTCAGTAATAAAGTTCTTGATTAATTAATCATTGCCGTAAGTCCTTATCTCTTCATATATATGTGGATTTTATAAGAATACATATAAACAGCTAAATAAAGAACTACTGTATAGTATAAGTTTCAAGTATTTTGGGTAGAGTTTCGAGAGTTTTTAAATAAGACATTTACATGTAACTAATTTCAAATCATTCATTTGTTAGCATTTTAGCTAGTCAATGGATGTTCTGAGGAAACTACAAAACACTAATATTCTTAGAGTCTGCTCTCCAATATATATTTTTAATAATCATCAAAAAACGGGTGCTGTGCTAGAACGCAAACTATTTGGGGGCAGATATATTTTAAAGCGAAGTTCTTACAACAGACTATATTTATGATATTTCTGAAAAAGAACTTCTTTAAAAATTAAATTAAAGACTTTTAGTGTTTAGCAATAAGGATAGACGTTGTCAAGCTAGTTATATAAATTATGTTAATTATTTAAATAAAGTTTGGAGCTTAGTTAAAAACCGTTGTAATCCTGTGGGTTTACAACGGTTTTTTTTTTATTCTTTTAGAATCAGTTATTTATTCAATGTGTTTTGCAAGTACGGATATCCACATCTTTCCAGAGAATAATACAGTTAACGTTAGGAATGCATTATCTTTCGTTT